CCAGGTAGATGTGATCAGGAAATGGGCTTCCCTTTTCACTGTTCTTCCTGAGAAGTTTCAAGATACCACTGTTGGTCGTTTTGATGTACCTTAGGATTTAATTTTCAGCCTATTTCCTCTTTTGTCTGCTTGTCTCGCTCCACAATCCCCGTTCAGGACTTGTTTCTAGTTGGAAACAGTTCAGGGCTGGTTGTGGCTGTTTGGTTTTAATTGGAAACTGTCTCTTTAAATTTCCAGGAGATCTGTGTGCATGCGTAGTAGAACCCTCTGAGGGTCGGGCTGAGGTGCTTACTAGCTCAGGCACCCCTATAGCCACCAGAATGGAGGTGCGCAGACAGCAAGGGACCAATGAACAGATACCAAAAGAAAAGAATGTTCACACCTTTATCTCAGTGGTTCTGCCAGGCGTCTGTGGCCGCTCCGATCCTTCCCCAACGTGGTCTCACCCAAGATGGTGGCTCCTGGAGCACAAGCGTCCCAGACTAGAAAGCAATAGATTTCTTGCTTCTGCCACAAATTCCCCCAGCTGTGAGCCTTCCAACCTTCTAAGTATTCCTTTAGTGTTAGCCGATGGTACATGGAGAGGATCGTTATTGCAATGAAAAAATATGATTTGTTGAGTGCGAAACTGACTGATCTACCAGTAAACTATCATTCAATTCACAATTAAAGCTTTTTTTTAAAAAACAACAACACATACACACAATGTTCAAGGCAAGCATTTTTATTACTAGTTAAGCTATTTGATTTTAAGATTTCAGGGGATATTTTTAATTTAAGGTTTAAAGGCCAGTGGTTTCAGGGGTTCATCTAACCATCATGGCTCCAGAAAGTTTAAAATTAGAATGTGAAATTCTGTTTTTCGTTTCCTCCCTTTTGCTCAGGATTCTTATATGGAATCTTTTGATCAAAATGTTCAGTATTGGTAGCAACGCACCATTTTATTCTGGTTTCATACCAAAGGAAGCAGTTGTTCATGAAGGCAATTTGCCACACATTACATTTCCTCCTCCTATTCCTGACTTTTCTTGCTCCAGGCAAATAAGAACCAATTGTGTCTTGTATGGTGCTTGCAAACTTTTAAGACCCCGGGCAGTATTTTACTTTTTTTTTTTTTTTACTAGAATTTGTTAAAGGAGGGAAAAAACATTTAGTAATGAAAACTCCCAGTTAACAATGGAACAATCCCAGAGTTTACCAACAAAATTTTCTTGGTTTACATATGTTATTAAGTGCTGATAGTTGGTTCCAACTCATAGTGATCCTATACAGGGTTTCCAAGGAGCAGCTGATGAGTTTGAACTGCTGACCTTGCAGCAGTCCATTGCTTATGCTATAGCACCACACCAGGACTCTTGGTTTACATACACTCCTATATAATATTCTGAGTTGCTGTTGTCAGTTTGATCCCGTTTGTTGTTGTGTGCTTTTGAACTGGTTCTGACTCAAAGCAATCCTGTATTGAGGTTTCTGAGGCTGTAAATCTTTACAGGAGCAGAAAGCCTAATCTTTCCTCCACATATGTTGTTGTTAAGTGCCATCGACTAGGTTCCAACCCATAGCGACCCTGTATAGGGTTTCCAAGGAGAAGCTGGTGAGCTTGAACTGCCGACCTTGCAGTTCAAACGGCTTTGCAGTCTGGCTTATTAACCCACAGCACCACACCAGGACTCCCTTAAAAAGTACGGTGTTCAAGGCAGGCATTCTTTATTAATTAAGCAACTATTGTGTGGTTTAAAGAGGACTTCAGGGATATTTTTAGTTTAAAGATGATTCCGGTCAATAGGTTTAGGAGTTTATCTAGCCTCAGTGGCTCCAGAAAATTTGGATTCCATGAAAATTTGGAATTCTGTTCTGTATTTTTAGCTTTTGATCAAGAATCTTCTATTGAATCCTTAATCAAAATGTTCAATATAAATCAGATTAAGCTATATTAAGATTATTTTTTATCTGTGTGTGCCTCATAGGCTCACTTGTTTGCTACTGCGTGGTCATCTTGTCTTAAGGTAGAAAGAGGAGGCTTTCTATTGTTTAGTGGTCCTGGACACGTAGGAAAGAGCCATGGTGCCATTGTAGAATAACCACTAGATAGCAGTTCAAATCCACCAGCCGCTCCATGAGAGAAAGATGAAGCTGTCTGTAAAGATTTAAAGTCTCAGAACTTTATATAGGATTGCTATCGTTCAGAATGTATTTGGTTTTGGGGTTATTTATTTAACACATAGCAATCCTGGCTTTATCACAATGGCCCTTTGTTCTAAGGTGTATAACATACAGTTCTACTGGGAGTGGAACTTCTTTTTATTTTAATGTTTTATTGTGTATTATGTGATAGTTTACATGGGAGCACATTAGCTTTACATTCATCCTGTTGTATATGGTTTCATTTCCATGGTTAAGTCCCCTCCGTGTATCATCACCCAGCAACAGGGTAAACCCCTTAAGCCTGCCCCTCGGTCATCAGCCCCTCTCCCTCTCTGGGTCTAGAGTCCCCAGCCGCTCCATCTCTCCACATCATCGTCTCTGCCTCCATCTCTGGTGTCACTGTTTTTCTGGGTAGGGTCCCACACTCCACTCTTCTCCCTTAATGGTCTCAGGGACCTCCACTCCTGGACAGCAAAGTCAACCATAGGAGTGGAACTTTTATGTTATAAAATGGTCACTCAGCATAATGTCTGTCTTCTTTTTTAGGGCAGTGTATCTCTGAAAGAATTAAATGCCCGGCCCTTAGAAGTCTTCATGTGCAGTGTGCTCAAAAGACAAGGCTATGGAGAAGGCTTCCGCTGGATGGCACAGTACATCGATTAACACCAACCCAGATGGGTTCCAGGTCTCATCATTCAGGCCTACCCAGAGATTTGATCACCCAACATAAATAACTTGAATTCAATAGACTTTTGTTGGTTATAAAGCGGATGTTTTTTAGATTATTAATATCAACTTAATTTGGATGAAAATTGAAAACTGATTTGAATAAGTTTGAATATCACAATGTTAGCTTTCTAATTCCATAAAAATAATCAGTTTTTACAGTTTATAATCCGACATCCCTAGTACCATTTATAAAGGGCAACTTTGCAGCAGTACATTTGAAGCACTTTTGACAACATAAAACTACAACTGTAAACCTTATTTAAAAGCTCATAATGTTAAATTTTTTATGTACTTTTTTGGGACTAGGTTTAAATTTTTAGATTATATGTCTACCTATCTTAAGAGTACGGTTAATAATTAGCTTATCAATGATTGCATGATGCCTTACAATTTTCAATAATTTTTTTCTTATGCAAACGTCATGCAATAAAACAAACTAATGTTTGGCAAATGTTTCATTTTAATGTGTCTTATCTAGCTGGTAGACTCAGAAATTTTGAGTATTTAATATTATACTTATCCGAGGGTTGTTGGGAAAGATGATTGCTTTAGAAAATGTAAAATGACATTTAAACCTTTAGAGCATGAGTGGGGAACCTTTTTTCTGCCAAATTTTATAACATCATTCTTGTACCATACAAATTGTCAACTTAAAAATTAGCCTGCTATATTTGGTCAAACAATTAACTCACCCCTAATTGTGATGGCTGGAGTCCTGGTGTGGTGCTGTGGGAAAAAACACTGGACTGCAAGTTCGGCTTGAACCACAAGGTCAGCAGTTCAAACTCACCAGCTGCTTCTTAGAAACCCTATACAGCACCACTATGAGTCAGAACTGCCTCAGAGGCACTAAACAACAACAAATGTGATGGCTGGAACTGTGGTTGCCTTGGCAGGGCCAGACCATATGATTTCATGGGTCATATGGTAGCGTAGTGGTTACAAATCGGGCTGCGAACCTTAAGGTCAGCGGTTCGAAACTACCAGCCGCTCCACGGGAGAAAGATGAGGCTTTCTACTCCCGTAAAGATTTACACCCTCGGAAACCCTGTACAGGGTTGCTATGGGTCAGAACCGACTCTATGGCACTTAACAACAACAACAACATGCTGCCTGAGGAGTCCTGGTGTGGCACTATCGGTTAATGCACCACACTGCAAAGCCGTTTGAACTGCAAGGTTCAAGTTCACCAGCTGCATCTCAGAAACCCTATACAGGGTCGCTATGGATCAGAAATGACTCGCGGGCACTTAACAACAACAACAACATACGGCCTGAAGGCCAGATGTTCCCCACCCCTGCTTCAGGAGCTTTGGCATTTACCAGGAGCATAATTGTAGTTAGTTGCTCTGGCTACTGCATTTATCTCTGAATTATAATGGATTTTTGTCAGTAAGGCTACCATTATCATGCTGATGAGGTCCATGGCTTAGTCCCTGTCAGAATGGCCTGAAGAAGGGCACTTCTACTGGTATAAGACAGGTTGAGTCTTGGTTTGGTAGGCCCTATAGCTTCATCTCAGGGGTTCTGAGTGTGACGCTGTGGAATAAACACTGGCCTGCTAACCACAAGGTCCGCAATTCAAAACCACCTGCCGTTGCTTAGAAACACTGTACAGGATCGCTACAAATCGGAACCAAGTCGACGGCACTTAACAGTAGCCTCATTTCAGTGGTCTAATTAAAAAATACTCCAGCATTTTTGATATCTGGCTTGGTAATCTATGTGTCATCACCAAATATAATTTTAGGTACCGTCTCTCCACATTTAAGGGGACCCCCAGTCTCCTTAATTTAGTGGTATTCCCCAGGACAAGCAACAACTAGGGTATTAGTATACATTCTAGGAAAAAAACCCAGCCTGTTCTGCTTTGGATATCAGTGAAATGTGTGGGGATTTTGCTATGATCTTATAGGTCCCCCCCACCTTTTTTTTTAGCATATTTTCTTTCTGGGTAGGAAAAAAAAAAACGCTGGTTTTCTTTATTTTAGTTGCTGTCAGCTAGCTCTTATTTTATAGCAAAAGGGCTTTTGTTTTAGATATAATACCTGCCTCATTGATAAGGATTAAGGAATATAACTGGATGGAATTATCAGGTATTTCATTGGAGGAGCTAAACCGACAGGGTCGTTTCTTAACATGACATTTGGTTTTGGTAAGTTGACTTTTTTTTTCTTTTTCACTTTGTTATTTTCTAAATGAAAATAAAAGAATTTCCTACCTGCCAAGAAAGTAGCACCAAGGAAAAAGTTGGAAATGACATGTTGGTTAAGCCTAAATTACTTACTATTATAGAGTCCTGACAAAGTGGAACTAAGTTTTATTTCAAGTAACTTCCTCTTTTTGATGGTATCTGTCATCAACACCTTGAGAGAAATGTCTTTAGTATGTCCTATAATGAGAATGTTTCCTGATACAAAGTATCTTGCTCCAGAATCCTTATTCTAGTCTGACACTGGAGCCAAAGAAGCAAACTAAAGTCATAACTAGACTGGGCATATTTTCCTAATGATTAGAGATTCTTAGAGCCTGAGCCTCTAGCAATGAATCTGTACTTGGCAGCAACCAACTTTCCTCTCAGCTTTAGGGCTGATAGGCAGATAGGAAAACATATACTCTTTATGTGGCAAGTGTGTGCACCTGTGGAGTATTTCATGGGTCAATGTTAGTGTGAGGACATAAGTAAATTTTATTTTAACACAGCTGTATGCAAATTAAGATCAGATTCCATATAAAAAGAGATTCGTATTCTACATTCATTTCAATGACTAATTAATTACACTTTTGGATCAGAAATAATTAAGGTGATAAATTCCAGTTTCTCTTTGTCTCAGTGAATTTTTAGAATGGAGATTTTAGCAGTTTCAAATTTGTGCCGATACATTTCCTAAACAATATGGGATAAAGGATTCTTTATCATTGGCTTAGTTGAACCAGTATCTTCATAATGAGTGCCAAAGATGTACAACTTCAGATATTGCCTTCATAGATCTAAGTTTAAGCTTTATGTGCCTACGTACATGCACAAACTTACTGTGGGTTATGATGTAAAGGCAGAAAAGATTTCTTTTCTTTAGTTTTCAATGGACTCACATTTCTTTACCATACTTTTCAGCATGTAAACTACTTGAAAATCATTAAAATAGGGTGATAAATGTGAGAATAATGTTGCTTGCTTTCTACAAAATGATTTGATATATATACCACATTCAAAACCCAGCATTTTCACAAATTGCAAAATAACAACAGTATTCTTCTAGTTGACATGATTTGATAATTTCAGAGGAAAGGTTTATATTTTTTTGAAACTATTTGGAATGTGACTCAATATGACATTTCAGTCTTGTTAGTGGTGTAGTTGGTGACATAACTGAAGTTTGCAAGGATTTATTGCCAAATCAAGCCTGACCAGTTACACCAGGAATAGTTTATATAAAATGGAAGTCTCTTAGAATACCTTTTGTTCAGTTTATTTAAAGGATATTGTTTGGATCTTCTTAACCATGTGAAAAGTTAATAATACATTGTATCTTTAAATGCAGAGCTAGTTCCTAATTAGGGTTGCCAGGTAAAATACAGGCTGCTCAGCTAAATTTGATTTTCAGATAAAGAATTAATAAATGTATCTGACATTTAATTTAACTGAGTGCCCTCTCATCATTTGCTAAATCTTATAGCCCTATTTCAAATATATGGGACTACAACAGCCACCAAAGATGAAAGTGTGCTAAGCCAGAGTATATATGTAGGACCTTAGAGTTTGACGCTAAGGAAGTGGCTCAGAAACTCTTCTATTTTGTTTCTCTTTGCTGGATTCCCTGTATTCCTGTATGGTTTCTTTTCCAAACCATTTTTCCAAACAAACCAAGTTTTAGCATCTGTCAGAGTTTTATTCCTATACTGAATGATGACTTTTGATCATGAGGTTTTGTGCTCTTCATAAAAGAAACAGAAAAAAATGAAGTGAATGTGTAGCGCCTAGTGACATAAACCTTGATGCAATTGGTAGCTACAGGGCCTGGCCTGAGCAGGCCATCAAATGATACTTGGTCTTCCATTAGCTAGCTTGCCTTTCTGTTATGTTGGAGAGAGAGAGGGACCGTGTGTGATTAATCAATTACTTTCCATTGTTTTCTTTACACTGCCTCAAATAGGATTTCAGTCAATGAACTCAACTGAAAAAATGTTGAAGCTTCAAGGAAATCTTCAAAAAAGCATTAAAAAAATAATGATTAGCAGATATAAATTATTTAATGCAAAATTAACAGGGAACTAAAGACGGCACGTAACAACAAACAATAATATTATTTTAGGGTCTCTATGAGTCACAATTGACTCAATGGCAATAAATCTGCTTTTTGACATTTAAAAAATATGAATATAAGCACCGGATCATTTGCTATAATTAGGAGAGTTCAGAAAATGGTATGGCTTCAATTAAGGACTGTAATCAATCTTCAATTAAGGCCTGTAATCAAGAAAAACCTTTAGAATATGTGGTTGTACCTCTGTGTCAAATGATTGGGGTTTTAGTAAAACTTAAGTTTTCACTCTTGAAACCCCAACTGAACCTGAGTAAAAAGATCTCTGAGTATGAAGGAAATCTAATATGTTGAAGGTGCTGTTCTGAACTAACTAATTTTTGTGCTATTAATTTAGTATAAAAAGCAGTTAATATGGTTGATTGTTCAGGTCTCTGACCACACTTTTAAATAGAATTCAAAATAATCAGTTATCCAAACTAAACACTGTTTCAGAAGTGCCCCTGCCTGAAATAGATTTTAGGACAGAAATGGGAAGAGCTCTTCACACAGAATTATTTTTGGAATTATTTCACAATGGAGTGAATGAATTTTTCAGCTTGTATTTTAAGTGGGGAATTAGACTTAATTTTAATTTGAACTATTTTGGAGTTAAAATGGGTGACAACTCTATACCTTTTGACATAAAAAGTTTTCTTTGGAATTGTTTTCATTATCAAGTATAAAGATTCACTTTGGAATGGCCAGCTTTTTGTGAGTTTCTGTACTCCCTGGTGCTGCTCCTAACCTGAATTCATAATCCAATACCATACCGAGGCAAGAGCACTCAGGATGAATGTAGCTAAGTTACTTTTAAAAGTGATAAAAAACGTTTCCGTGGTGAGGCCTTCAGTATTTGGCTGAATGCAGTGTGTTGGAGTGGTAAGTCGGTGGTAAGTAGTTCATCACTAATCTTGTTTGCACTTTTGTATACCACTGCTTACACTAGCATCATAGTGTGAATTTTAACAGTTGGTTTACAGTATATACAGATTGTTAAGCATAATTTATATAAAGATGTTTCTGTTTACTTTTATGTATTTTACAAAGAACAGTTATAATAGATGGTTAAATGTTCTTGAATTGTGTTTGTATGTTATTTTGATTATGTTCTTTTATCTTTTCACTCCCTATAAATTTGACTGTCAGT